TTGAGCCTCTAGTGGCCTGAAAAGACTTAAGTATGCACTTCCTCTACTAAGGGCAAGAAGGTTCTAGGAAGTAAAAGAATTGACAAGTGGAGTGTCACCTTACAGAGCTAAAAGTGACAAGAAATAGAGATTTTGTTGGCAGGGGAAGGCTTATTACCCACCTTCTCACATACTGTCTTGTACCTTCTTAAAGTGTCTACTTTTTTTCACAGTTTTCTTGGGGGATTTTGCCTACCTCAGTTTGACCCTGAATTTTTGGTAGCACATCGTCACCTAGTATCTGATTGGTTGACACAAAACACGTTAGTAGCAAAATGTAAACAAGCTCCTACTGGTCATCTCACGTGTTCCGATGACATCACTGGTGATTGAAAGAGAAAGCAAGGATACGAACTTCTCCACTCCTTCAAATGAAGTTTAACTGAAACAAAGAAATCATAAGGCCATTAGGATGGGCACTAAATTCCCTAGGTGGTGAAAAGGTGGTTATTTGTTCAAGCCGAGGCCTTCAATTTCTTATCATCCCGGTCAGGCAAAGTACGTGAAGAAGGTTATTTCCTTATCCCAGTCAGGCTGTAAGACCGAAAAGTAGAGGAATGTAAAACACTGCCCTTCTCTAGGATTGAGAATGTATTTCCCCAGACGTTGTGTAATGATATCGCAATCAAGATGAATACCAGTAAAATTCCTTTAACTAGGCATGGCTGCTAGAAGATATCAGGAGTTACTTAACAAGACTGAAAAGCCACATAAGAACCTGGGATCCACCATTAGCTGTATTCTTCTGCGCGGATGGATACAAAATCAAGACCGAAAGAAAGGAAGCGTTGAGCAAGACACGGGATCCGAGTAGGCGATAAGTATCTCAGACAGTTACAAGAAAATAATCAAGAGCACGGATGGATAAGTTCCTCAGATGATCAAGAAGAAGAAGAATATCCCAGAAGGGTTGACTCCTAATGAGAAGAAGTTTTTAGCTGAGGTCCTTTGGAGGACATGGAGCATTTTATTTTCTTTTTCTTTTCATTTTCATGTAGTTCATTTGCACATTTTTAGATATTCCCCTTTTCTTTTATTTTTCCTTTTCCCTTTTGTAGTTTCTAGAATTCAGTTCCTTGGAGGATAATAAGTAGTGACAACCTGCTGGCAATGATGGGTAAATTAGAAGGATCTTTATCCAAAACTTAGTCCAGAGCGAAATATTGTCCCCAAGGTTGCACTTAGAGGCCGAAACTCTTTTGAGAATTGATGGTTGTTGATGAGTGTATCAGTACAAGCTTTTAGTTTAGCCATGATACAATTGCCTTATGTATCGCTATTGGTTTTCATATGATTAATAAACACACAGTACTGGCCTGTCCAAGGGTTTAAAAAAAAAAAATAATAAGTAATCTAATTAAGAATTAATCTTATTATAAAAGTAATAAAATTGAAATATTATAAAAGAAAATTAGTTTGAAACAAATATAAAAAATATAAAAAAAGTCATAACTATTTTTTTTAAAAAATTTTTGAAATATAAGATATAAGAAGGCTATAAAATAAAAAATATGTGCAAAAAATTTGAAAACTAAAATAAACTCAAGAAATTTGAATGATATAAAAAATTTTAATAAGAAGAAAAGTATATAGAAAATAAGAAACTTTTGTCAAAACTTGCTAAAGTAATTTACAGTAGTAATCTGCAAACAATGATATTAGTAGTATTAATAGAGCAACAAGTTATTTTCAAAGTTATATTTAAAGTTATTTAAGTGAATTAGTTAAAGAATTGGTTTTAGTAACAAATAAAGTAATATACTGCTTACAAATGTTTAATAAAGTATACATAATGTAACTAGACTAATAGAGAATTATATTAAAAAAAATCCTACTAATTTTATTATAAATAAATAAAAAAGTATTTAATAAAATAATTTTTATCATAATTTCATGTAAAAATTTTGTATCAAACTTTTGCAATCTTATCTCAATCTTGAAATATTTTATTTCTTTCTTTATATATGAATTTTTTAAAGAAAAGCAGTTCTTTTTTAAAAATTATTTAAGAAATTCGCACTTGATAAATTAAAATCAATTTTTATAATTCCTTAATAAATTGTTATTATAGGTTTCTTAACAATATGAAAAATCGAAACTTTTATTCTTGAATTATAAATGAGAATCGACTTTTGCAAATTATCAAACCATTCTTTATAATATACAACTTGAAGATTTATCATCCTTATTTACACAGAATAAAAATACAGAGATAAATAATAATAATGTTCCAAGTCTGAACTTTTTTTGTTTCTTTAGATATTAACTTTTTTTTTTGGTGTAATTAATTGTGAAGGTGGGTGGTGATGCACGGAAAATAAAAGCCAACACGTTGATAAATAAATAAAATTTACAGATTTTATGAAATGTAGACTTTCCAGAGCCTAATAATTCAATAAGGGAATTAAACTATTTACACAAAGAAAACCGAGGTGGGGTATTCATCAAAAGTTTTCGGGATGAGTGCCCGTGGTAATGGAGGGTTTTACAGCCGATTTTGATCGGTGAATGAACGGTTTCATGAGGGGAAGAAGGAAAGACTCTGAGCGACCAAAAATAAAAAAAAAAACAAGGAAATTAGTATATCTGTTGATCAATGTAATTTTAATGGGCTTGGTAGCTGAATGGTGATACTTACTTTTCTTCGCCATAAGTTCTTCCATGCGATTCTCAAGTTCTAGTTTCGCCTTTCTCTCCTCTTCCAAAACATTCTCGATAACCTTCTTTTCTTCGTAGACATTTGACTTCTCATGTTCAAATTCAACCGTCGTTTCATCTAACCGAGAGCGCAAATAATTTATTTGATCAATAAGTTCAATATTCTCTTTTTTCAAAGTTTCAATTTCCTTGCTTGATGCATCAATGATCTTTTCACTTTTTGTAAGTTCGCTCTCTAGTGAGTCGATGAGTATGTTCTTTGCCGCATTGTCACCTTCAATCTTTGTAATCTTTCGATTAAGTTTTTGAACTTCCGAGGAAAGATCAGGGGGATTACTGGGGGATTCCACAAAGGAATTGGGTCTCGATCGAGGTATTTTGGATTGGGGTGAAATTAAGGGGGATCCGGAGGAGGGTGGCTGAGATCCAGGTGTTGGTGGTAGAGGTTGGTTTGGTGGTGGATTTGGTGGTGGAGTCTTTGCAAGGTTGGCGGCCGCAATCGTTATACTCGGTCGTGATCTTTTGCCCTCCGTTGGTGTAGGTAATTGCGAGCTAGTGGATAATCTAAGTCGATCAGAATTTTCATTTTCGGAGACGACGGACATCCCGAAAGACGGGCGTCGACGTCGTGATTGTTCTTCGAGCAAACGTTTCTCGAGTTTCTTTTTCTCCTCAATGAGATCTACCTTTTCAGACTCGAGAACAGTTATTTTTCCTTTCAATTCTTCTATTGAAGAATCATTGGCAACTTGCAGATTGTCAAGTTCACTCTTTAATTTCTCAATCTCCTGACTCAACGAATCCGATTTTTCTTCAGCAACATTGACTTTGGCCTTTAAATCTTCATTAATTTGTTGCAAATTTTTGTTGGCAGCCTTTAAACCTTCCAATTTGGAATTTACCGTAGTCAATTCATCGCTCAATGCAGAAATCGTCTCGTTTAGGCCATTGGTCTCCTCTAAATCGCGTTCCAATTCGTTGATACGCAGTTGTTGTTCACTCGTGATCAGATCTGCTGCTTCATATTTTTTCGCGGTCTCGGTATACTCCAACGTTAAATTTTCAAGATCGGCTTTAAGAGATTTGATTTGATTTGAAAACTCTTCGTTTGCAGCCAACTGCAATTCTTTTTCTGATCTTAGTTGCTGATTGATTTCTTCCAATGACTCAACTCGTTTGTAATTCGATTCTGCTTCACTTTGTACCTTTTCAAGTTGAATCGAAAGTTGTTCTGCCATCCTGACACTCTCGGAATTTCTATTACTAATTTCCAAAAATTCCTTCTTAGCCTCCTCCACCAATCCTTCCAGTTGTGCACATTTTTTCTTGAGGTCATTGTTTTCCAAATTTGCCTCGGTGTTTTTTACAAACTCGGCATTCCGCATTTTTTCCCTAATTGATAAGAGCTCGAGACTTAAATCTTGAATTTTTTGTCGGTCTTCGTCTCGTTCCCTCATGGTGTTTGACAGTAGATTGGTGAGACCCTCAGTGTTTCCGTTAGATCTAACACTTCTTAATTCCTCTTTCAAGAGTTCCACATATTCCTTTTGCTCTTCCGCGGATTTTCTCAAACCTGACAATTCAATTTCAAGGATGTGGTTGGAATTTGTGGATTCGTTAAGTTTTGATTGCAATTGTTTTATTATTGCCTTTTGATCTAGTTCCAAGTCGTGTAAAAGTTTGATCTCGGATTTCAGACGATCAGATTCTTTTTGCGATTCCGAAATTTTTGACTCCAACTCTTTGATCTCGTTGTTGAGCTTGTAGGTCAAGGTGGTGAAATTGATATCGGCATCGGCCTTCTGTTTCTGAAGGGATCGCACTTCCTCTTCAAGATCTGAAATCTTGCTTTCGTGCTGTTGCTGTATATAGTTGTCCAGTGATCGCAGGCATTCCAATTCTTTGTTAATAAAAATCTGTTGCTGGGTCTCGGCATGTTTAAATTCTTGAAATTCCATCTCCGATCTTTGGCACTTCACCCTCGATTTCAACAGGTTTACCTTATTCCTCAGCGATTGATATTCCAAATTTGACTTTTCTAATTTCATTTCAAGATCACCAATCTTGTGCTTGTAAGTATCCGAAGACTCTTTCGCCAGTGCCAATTCGCGCCTCAGGCTAGTCAAATCTTCTTGCGGTTGCACATTACCATCTGCGCTCGTGTCACTTTGCGCGAGTATTTTTGACTCTAATGAATGAATTTTTTCTTTATATTCTGATTCAACTGCCCTTGATCTTTCCAATTCTTGCATTAGTTCCGCTTCTCTTTCAGCGAGTGTTTGTATTTTTTCCAATCCGGATTGTTCGTGACGTTTAATTCTTTCCAATTCCATTCTAGTATCCTTTAACTCCTGTGACTGCAGATCCGCCTCGGAATTAGATTTGCTCGTCAGTTGAGCTTGTAGATCATCGATCTGCGCTTGCATTTCATCTCGCTGATTTTTAATTTCAACAAGTTGTTTCTTGTATACTTCCGCCTCCGCCTCTTTTTCCTCGATTTTCTTCCGTAAATTTTCTTGATCAGTAAGATCTTTCATCAATAACTCGTATCGTTCATATTTGAGCTTAAGATCCTTCAAAAGTTCCAGTTGAATCTTCAATTCTTGCCTCAATGATTCCTTATCGTTTGTGGTGTCATTATCCTGATCATTTTGACCATTCTCTATGTCCGAGACTCCATCGCTGCTGGTATCAGATGTGCTGGAGTTGCTAGACAATTCGTTACGACCAGAAAGTTCCTGTTGCAACGCTGCGAGCTTCATCTCTAGTGTTTCAACCGATCTTTGTGTTGAGTCCAATATGTCACTGTAGTGAACATCCTCTTCCTCCACTTTGGCGCATTCGCTTCCTCGTCTTTTCAGTTCACCAGAGAGCGACTGGGTCTTCCGATGGATCTTTTGTCTAAGCAAACTATATTCGTTTCCATCTTTGGTGATTTCATCGAATTCCGGTAGTGAAGACCTGGCGGAAATTATTGTCGCGGCAGAGGACGAGAATCGTGGCGTTGAGTTTATCAACGTGCTCGAGGGAGAAACAGGCGTTATAGGAGTTGACGGTGAATCGTCCGGAGGGTCGTTGTAGTGGTTATTCATCATCAACCTTGCCTCGTTTAGCTTAGATTGAGACAGTTGCGTTTTTATGTCTTGCAGCTCCGAGAGACATTCCTGATATTTGGTTTTGATTTGGGAATATTCGGCAACCGTTTTTTCGTGAGTCTGTTGAAGTTCGGACAATTTTTTTTGCAAATCTTCTGTGACTCCTCCCTTCCCGTCATCCTTCATCCTCAACAATTCATCCTCGTGCATCTTCGATCTCTTGAGTTCATCAAGTCCAAGGGTCAACTCATTGACATTCTCTTCGAGCAAGGCAATTCTGTTTTCGCGTTCTAATATTTCACCCAACAAAAATTTCTTCTCCTTCTCACCGTCAATACCATCTCCGCCTGTCAATTTCGCTTCCAGTTCGAGGAACAAGTCGCTTCGTTCTTTCAGCCTAATCTCCAGCTTCTCAATCCTTCTACTGAACTCCACTATCCGTCGATCACTTTCATCCAACTGATTCTCCAATGTCTTTATTCTATCATCTTTGACTTCCTCTTGCCTTCGATGATGCTCTTCGCTGGATCTCAACCCCTTCTCTTCCTCCTTTAACTGTTCAACGCATTCTCGTAGTTCCTTTATAATTTCTTGATCCCTTTTTTGCTCCTCTTCGTATGCCTCGAGCTTTGATTCGAGCACCTTGATGTGCTGCACAAACATCATGTCTTTGTCCGAGAGTTCGGTGATCTTCATTTTTAGTTCATCGATCAGTCTCAGGTTGTCAGAGTTGAGTTGCTCCGCGTACTCGAGCCTCGACTCTTGATTAGACATTATTGAATCCGCATGAGCCAAGGCAGCTCGATTCAGGGCGAGTTGACTTTCGAGCACTGATATGGACTTCTCATACTCCTCTATGACCGGCTCCACGACTTTCTCAAAGCTCGGCGGCTGGATCACGATTGTTGGTTCCTCTTGTTGTGACGTGGAACTTTTCGAAGTCTTTGACTGTGATTCTAAGTGAGGCATCGTCACCAGTTGATCCAATTGTTGGTCGGGATCGTTTTCATCTCCATGATCCATCGTTGCCGACAGGTGAATGGAAGGTTTTTTCAGTAGACTATGAGGTGTGGTACCATTGGCATTGGTGGGAGCGAGCAATGGTGATGAATGCTCGATGGAGCTACTGTTCGTCAGCTGTGTAGGGGTGCTTCTTCCTGAACTACTCGATTCGCACATACTATTCCTACAGCTTGTCGACCCATTGGACGCCGTTAACCCCAAGGCGCCGCCGCTCTTCAATAGCTTGATTTCATTTCTCAATTTTACGACCAGTGATTGCACGTGCTCCAGGTCATGCCACCCAGCCTCTTCCTGATTCACGCTAGCATTATTTTTAATGTTCCTCGCTCTATTAGCGTACTTTAGTGTGTTTACCGTTTCGTTCAAGTTGAACTCGGCGGGTGATACGCACGCAATCATTAACGTCTGCGCATTTCCGCCCAAGGAGTCTTGCAATAGTCGGGTGAGCTTCGAGTCACGATATGGTATGTGCGTCGTGTGTTTCGCTTTGTTCGGATCACCTAACGCGGAAATTACATTTCCGAGGGCCAAGAGACCGGAGTTGATCGATATTCCTTCCTTCGCACGATCTCCCACCGCCGACGTCCGTTTTAGCTATAATAAAAAAAAAAAAATAAAAAATAAAAAATAAAGAAAAAAATAAAAATTTTCAGATAAGCAATTAAGTCAGTATGATCGCTGAAGCATGAGTTTGCAACCAAATATTCACCCTCTCGCTGCCCGCCAAGTCCACGAAATGGTATTTGCTTGTAACCGTAACAAGTTCACCAGCACCCTCATCAAATTGCTTGTTCAGTCGATTCATGCTCGAAACAGGTCGAATCATTTTGGATGGAGGCGGTGATGGCGTTCCCGCACCTGTGGTTGGGTTTGAGGGTGCGACGTATTTCTGATGCGTCATTGTCACGCTAAATATTGCATGAGACCTTGATGATTGCGCGTTCATCTGTGTGGCGCCCACTTGTCGATTTAGGGAACCTCTGGACAAATGACTTTGGTCGAGCGGCACAAAAAAGTTAATGAATGACAAGGGTCGTTTGTCAATCGTCACGTGCGTTAAAAGGGATACTCACTTACCCCATTAATTCTTCAACTCCGTTAACTTTAATCTCCTGCAGGCCGTTCCATATGATGTTCCCTTTCGAATCCTCCCTTATGGTAACCTGCGATCGCGTATCACCGTCACCGAGCAGATCGATCAATTCTTCATTGTATATCTCAATGAACGATACTTTTATCGAAAATTTGTTTGATCGATACTTTGGCCCGTTGGTTTGATCGAAGAGGGTGGTCATTGCTCGAGGAATTATTCCTTTGGATTCGAATGGCACCGATGAATTGTCGGCCGTACCCATTGTGTGGGTTTTCCCTGAAGACGTTTGTCCGTAGGCCAAGACCGTTACGTTGTAACCTGGGTATTCACAATGAGTTACTAATCATGTTACAGTCAATTGACGTGACGCGTTATACGCGTCGCTTCATCGACCCTATCGATCTTTCGGTCATTCTGACATCTCATCCATACAAAGCATAAGTATATATAAACATGCATACCTTCCAGAAATTTGTCGACCAACTTTACAATAGCTTTCTCGTAAACTTCTTGTTGCGAAGACTCTGGGCCAAACACGTAGTCATAACTGAATGCTTGCTTCTTCTCTGATTGTACGATCACCGAATTTGGTGGCGCGACGGTTATTACCTGACGTTGAAACCGTGTGGGTAAATTTGACGCATCACCGTTTGTCATTGGCCGTATTCTTACGGCTAGTGTGCGTGAATAAAAAAAAAAAAAAGAAAGAAAGAAAAAAAAAAAATCGAGAGTGTGGGTCAGTGAAGTGATTAAAGGTGATGCCCATCGTTTCATTCGTATGTGATGCTCTTCCTCCTCCTCCTCTGGAGAAAGAATCCATCGTCCACGCGTCTCACTTCTAGCCTTTGACTGTATTTAATTTCGATGACACTAACCGACTTGCACCGAGGTCTTCTCCGTTCCTTCTTCCTTCGAATTTGTCATCCTCTTTTGATATTTCGTAAAAAAGAAAAGGAAGACTTTCCTAACGGGTAAAACAAGGGAGGTTTCTTTTTTTTTTTCCTTTCTTCCTGTTCAGACGATGTAAGATGGATAGTCCGCTGTTCCTAATATAATGGGTGGTTGGATAAATATCGTGTCTAACTTCCTCGAAGAATGACTCTACTATTAGGGGTACTCACTCGCCGTTATTCGGTTGCTATTCTTTTTTTCCGTCGGAAAGTGTGAAGTCGTATGTGTGTGTGTGCTTACGTATTATATTCCCTATATATATGTATATACTGTATACTGTATATGTCGTTATAAATACTTTATTGTATTCTTATTTTTTTTTTTTTTTTTCCTTTGTAGCCTGCGGTATTCGGTTTTGGTTTAGAGCCAAAGGTGGATTTATGGTTGTATCTTTCTTTCTTTTCTTTTCTTTTTCGTCAAATCCTTTGCCGTGATAGTAAATTCGTCGTCAAGCGGAAGAGTTGAATGAAATTTTTGGTTTTGTTTTTGCAGAGTTTACATGCACCGCACAGGTATTATAATATAACCCTTGGAAAAGTGACGGCGAAAAGTGGAGTGAGTCAGAAAAAGAGAGTCGTGTGTTGATGCGTGATAAATTTTGATTTTATGTTACTCGTACATACGGATGAAACAGATGTCAAAAAAAAAAAAAAAAAAATTGGCGAAAAAAAGAAAAATGGCAAACGTGATCTGATTCTTCTTAGCTTTTGAATATGGATTCAAGTTATATTATCTAAACAGGAAATCGTGAAATATAAATACGTAATAATAGGCGGTTAAGTGTGCGTGTGTGTGATCTGTATGTGCAGAAAGAAAAAAAAAAAAATTTTTTTTTTTTTATTCTTAAATGCAAAGTTCGAGTCGAGTGTAACTATATGAAGAAAAAGTGTGAATTATTTTGTGCAAGCATCTAGAAACCAAAAGCATTCTTTTAAAGACTGCACATATTATATATTACTGTACACTTGTATGCGATGATGCATACCGCGCATTGTGTAATCAAAAGAGAACTTTTCGCAGAGAATACAGACGTAAGTGGGTACCATATCGAGGCATATACGTGCACTCGGTGAGGAAGCTCGTGATTATGGAAGCGGAGGGCACCTGCATGTATAAGACCAAATTGGTTGATGTGCGACGAGTCGGCCGTTATTTTCGTAACAATAAATGCTATGCCAAATGAAGAATCACGATGCACACTAATTACATGTTATATTACCGTCGCACTTGCAAGAGAGTCGCGCATATAGGACAGAGCCATTTGCGAGATCAAATCGGTTATGTCAACTTTTCTTTATTATACCGTTGTATATTTATTGTTTATATTTTGTGTGGTCATTATTAATCTTATTAATCGGAGGACATACCCAAATAATTTTCCTCGATATTTATTAATGTATATCGGGGTAAGAAATACTGTAACTGGTATTCACACTCTTTGATCTTCAAAATATTTTTTTTTTTCTTAAAACGAAATACAGTAGGCACATCATTAATAATCCTTATTCATGCTCTCAAGGTTATCTCTTGTACCGTGTGAGATCAACCAATTGCTGTTTCGTGCGCGTAATCGAAATCCAGAGTCGAAAATGATGATGGAACGGTCTTTCTCATCCGAGAAGCTTCGAATTGTTCATCTTCGAAACGAAATGCAAATGTCGCAGTCGTATTACCCACCGTCTTATTGAAAGGGAAGGGCGCAATGTGCGCACACGTAATCCAGAAAAGGATGTGACATAATAAACAATAACAGTTTGTCTCCTAGCCTGCGTTTGAACATTATTGTTGTCTTGTTTTGAGTTCGGGCCGTTGGGAAACAAAATTGCACAAATGAAGGCATCAATGGAAACCTCGTTAGGCAAGCAAAGGGCAAAGACTCCATTTGCATGCACGTTCGATATCATAATAATTTAAGCGTGCAGGGCATTCGATCAGTTTTCCAACCACTTGCCGGACACCGGCGATTGTTCGTGATATGATTGTACATGAGACAACGCAACAAACAAAAGGTACGCGTGGCGGGTACGTGAAAACAGGGGGAACTTACGTACGCTGGTGGTGTTCAATGGTAGCGAAGGAAATTCGGATGTCATCATCGGTAGAAAAGATTTACACTGCACAGAGGAAACCTTAACCACCTCAATCAGGTTTTGCGGTAGTAATCATTTCCTGTTTCCTCTTTTTTTTTCCTTCTTTTGAATTCCATCTGATTATGGAATTTTTGACCACATAAGGACGTTTGTGTGTACGTACATTATCTTCGATCAAAAAAAAAAAAAAAAAAAAATCCTGCCGCCATCAATTACCACTACGTACTAGTTTGAATACTAGTTTAACGCGCATAATACAGTAAATACAGTATACTGTACGTGGTACGCATGAATTCGCGGATATGCGAGTACAATGACTTAA